AAAAAAAAAAAGATGCACAGTTTGTAAAATCAAAAAAATTTATAACAATGAACCTGTGCATCTGCTCTCATTAAATTGGCTTTTTTGCCTCATGGGAGTGAGTGCAGGTTGCCATTCAAAAGTTGAACAAATTGTTCTAATAACATAAAGTGTACCTCATTTCCTTGTGACAGGGTATGTTGATTTGGGGCATTGTCCCAGGCCGTTCTCACTATTTAACACCAGATACCCAGTAGTGCAGTGGCAGCAGCCTCACCTCAGGGCTTAGGTATTTGTAAATACTTTGGCCTGTTCCATACAGAAAGCTGGTTTCTAGGAGGCTTCCAGGTGACTGTTGCATGTGAAAGTCACCTCATTTCTAGCTCAAGTCTTCAAGTATTTTGTTCTGCTTCTATCTTTCACATTTGGTCAGCACTTAGTGGTCTTTTACAATAATCATTGTAAAACTAGCAAGAAACTTTGTAAATTAAAAACTGACACATAATGCAGGTGCCACTGGTGCTCAATTTAAAGCATTCAGATACTAAAGTTGATAACAGGCTTTTATTTCATATGAGAAATGCCATCATTTGAAACTTAGTGCAGCAGTGAATAAGAGGAGTGTGATCAGTGTCAATTTAGAAGCTACAGGCAGAGGCTTCCCAGTGAGCCAGTCGCAGGAAGCAGGTCATCCCTGGCTTCTCCCCCAGGTCCCTCCACAAAGCCTTGGCACAGCCATAGGCTGGGGCTGGGATCAGATCAAACATTTAATAAAAGTTTCACCCACGTTCTCTGTCTTCAGCCAAATGCAAATCCTGTTTTTATTATACCAAACCAGATAAACAGAATAGCCAAATGAATTTGTGTGTAACTAGTAGTCAAAGTGTAACATCAAACATTTTCCCAAGCCTCATACAGTTAAATTGTTAGAATTGCTTGTAAGTACAAGTACCAAACATTTCTTCTTTCTCCTCTCCTTTTCAAAAATTGACCAACTGGGAGTGAAGAAACTCAGGAAAACATGACAGAATATTTGAGTGGAACTATTTGTAATACATGGCATTTGTCCCATTGTAATTTCACCTAAATCTTGCTGTTAGTTTTAGGGTTGTTTTCAGTTGAGGAAGACTTTGCGTTTGACGATAGGATTCCCAGGGTCCGCGATTCCGCCCACATGGACTCACGATGGTCTGGGCCTCAGAGTGGGCTCCATCTTCTTTCCTCCGAGGGTGTGAACATGTGACAGTGATTGCCGTTTTTCTTTGTTATAACCTGTAGACTGTGAAAGGTGGAATATCTGAAACGAGAATTGAGAAACGCATTGTGATCACAGGAGATGCAGATATCGACCATGATCAGGTAAAGACTGTAGGTTCTAGTTTTACAAGTGACCTTGTCTTTTTGCTGTGGTTTGCACATGTTGTCATGTCACATCCACCTGTAAACATCTTCCCAGGACTTGCTGGATGAGGTCTAGCTCCTGAGCAAGGCAGGAAGACTGATGGGCTGGATACAGCCTGTTTGTTCAGATTTCCTAGCTTTGACTCAGCATCGAGCGGATGTTGCTATTTATTTCACACAGGTTTTATGTTTACTTCTGGCTCAGAATAATCTGGAGGATTTCTGGCAACCATTAAGTATTCATATGGGCATCTTTTGAAGAAAGATTAATATTTGAAAGTGAATAGCAGTTTAATGCCACTGGCTTCTCAAACCTGAAGAAGCCACTTTAAGGAGTTTCTTAGTGTTTTACTTACAGCATAAGAAAACTGGCAGATAGCTAATAACGCCCAGATGTTTTTCCTTTTCACTATTATTGGGTCAAAAGAGGGAAAGGGAAATAATCTGTCTCTCACAAAAGTGAAAATTTACATTAATTCTGGAGCATATAGAGTCCTGTTGCTATCCTTATGGTAAGTTTGGCAGAATGCGTGGCTGTGAGCATATATGGAAGAACTGCTAGAGGCTTGGAGAGTAGCTGTCATTTTTATTTATTTATGTATTTGTTTATTTTTTTGTATTTTAGGCTAGACTCTACAGGGTGTTCAGGGTCTCACTACTAGATCAGACTCCTAGTGATCTGCCTGTTTACCTAAGAGCTGGGATTACAGGTGTGTACCACCATTCCCAGTCTCAATTGCCACCTCAGCGAGCCCCCAGGGTGGGGCACACGCAGGCCTGGGGATTGAACCCTGCACCTGCTTGCAGGCACATTAATCTGCTAAGCTATTTGGCCGGCCACGCAGTTGTCATTTTAGACTGTATTCTCAAGTGCTGGTGATAATTTTTTTGCTTTTGTTTTGTTTTGTTTTGTTTTGTTTTTCTGAGAGATTTTAAAAGGACACCAAACCATTTTCTTTCTATAACAACTCGAAGGGAAAATAAATGTTCAGTGAACTATCTCAGCTGGGAAGTAGGAGCACATGATGCTTACCCAGATTTGAATACAACACTTGAGTTCAGGAAAACAAATTTTATTTTTTATGTTATTTTATTTTATTGAGACAGTGTCTGGCTATGTGATTCAGGGTGGTCTTGAGTTCATTCTCTTGCCTCAGTCTCCCATGTGTTGGGATTACAGGTGTGCACCACCACATCTGGCTAAGAAAGTGAATTTTAGGGCAAAAAAATTTTGTTTGAGAAAGAATCTGTATATAACCAAAGAAAAATGGATTTTCTTCATACCTAAAAAGAAAATTGTTGCTCAATTTTTTAATTTTGTAAGCGTGGTTTTATTTGCATATTTTAATGTATTTTAAAAATGTTTTAAGGGTTATTAGAAGCTAAAGGTTTGCTTTGACTTTGAATTTTAAGTTAGGAATGGGAATCTCTAGATGACTAGCAGAACACTTAGCTCTTTACTCTGAAACCCTTTTTTTCTTCTTCTTCTTTTGTGTATTTTAGTACAGGGTCTACAAGATCTCACTATATAGGTCAGACTCGTAGTGATCCACCCGTGTTAAGCCTCCCAAGTGCTGGGATTACAGGCGCGCACTGCCATACCCAGTCTCTATCAGGGTCTCAGTGCGCCCTGGGGGTGGGCCCTGCACAGTACACTGAAGATCGAACCCCTAAGCAGGTGCTTTAATACACTGGAACCCATACTTGTTAATAAAATAATTTTCACTTTGGCCGTATGAGGTGACAGTTTCCTCACAGTCCTTATTATTGACATAAATAATATTTTACAATATTTAGTTTCTTATAGCATGAAAGGAATTACAGCAAACCTGATTTTAAATATATTTGAGGATTTCTATGGCAATTTTTAGTTTTCCCTACTTTTTAAAAAATATATATATAGCTTTACCTTTTTTATTTTGAATAGAATAGGGTCAGAGTTTTGCTTAGAAACCATATAGCTGATGGAAACTTTAGTGCAAAAAAGAACTGCATTTCTCCCTGTAGGCAGGTGACAGAGCAAAAGGAAAAGGAAAATTATGCTGTTTTTTTGTTTGTTTTTAACCAATGCAGTTTCTCCTGCGGATACAGTTCAGTGGCACAAGCACCTGCCTGGCAAACTCAAGGTCCTGAGTTTGATTACTGCTACAAAAACCCCCACAAACAAATACATAGTTTCTTATTAAAATCAGATATTCTGTATTTTAGAGGAATTTTCTTTCTTTTAGACCCTTTTCCTAGATTCTGTAGTTATATGTTGTTTTGTTTGCTTTTACTCTCTTTACAAATGAAATTGTCAATAAGAAAAGCCTAATAGTTCTCTCTGAAAAAAATAAGATCTTTCTAATACTTTTATACAGTTGACTTTCTTATAGAAACAGAGATACTCTGCTTTTCACCATATGGACTAGAGAAGAGACCACAAACCACTGTAATTCTTGGAGTCATCCTCTTGGCCCGCCACTTCTGATTGTGTGTGCTTGTGGCTACTCTTTTAGTTCTGCATTTCATAAGTTCTCATTTTTCCAGTAGCATGTTCGGTGAGCATATATTTTAGTTTGGACTAAGCTGAGAGGCTGAAAGGACAAAGATGAGGCCTGGTTCTGTGCCTTGGAATGTCTGGCCTTTGGGTGATAGCAGGTGTTACTTGAGGTGTAGATCAGCATTGTGCTGGCTGGGTAACATTTCTTCAAGGCACACAGCAAATTTAAGATGATTTTTACAAGCTTAGCATTGGTTTTGGGTTATAGGTAACAATGCTAAGGCCCAGAAAAGAGCTGATGAGTACAAGACTGGGATCCACAACCAGTGTGTTTCCTCTGCATGTACCATTAGTTGAAAATGACCAGCGGAAAAAGAAGTTTGGGGAAATGATAAGCATTATCTTAAGTGAACAGTGGTCCTAACTTGAGTCTTCCTCCTTCCATCAGTAACACAGTCAGGCTGTTGTCCCTGGATTGTGATTCCCCATATGATGTGCATGGGTTTACTGTGCTGAGGTGGAGCTTGTTCCTCAGCATGTGACTTTTTTCTCTTCTGACCCTGCAGGCGCTGGCTCAGGCAATCAGGGAAGCCCGAGAGCAGCACCCTGACATGTCAGTCACAAGAGTAGTTGTGCACAAAGAGACAGAGCTGGCAGAGGAAGGCGAAGAGTAACAAAGGTAAGAGCCCCTCACTGTGGCTTTCCCTGTGGCTGTTCTGTCATTCTGTGAAATGGAAGTTTTTATCAGTGTCTCTGATTCCCTAGTATATTAGGATTTATTTTAGATATTTTTAATCCTCATGTCCACCTAAGCAAGTACGTATAAAATTAACTGTGACCTGTTGTGTATGCTGAGTCCATAACTATGATTTATTTAGAGCTGCTAACCATGGATATTTATGCTTTGGATTGCTGTTTATCAAGTACATTTGTGTAAGTTACATTTCAAATGAAAAGTTACATTTTTCTATATGATGAAAAAGAGTGATTTGTTTCCTTATAAAGTAGGAGATGTTCTAAGTCTGTCATTTGAAGAGCTTATTTTTCCGTCTTTAATCTATCTGCAGTTTTATGTCTCAAGTAAGTTAGGTAGAATGAGGGTGTTTCTGGCACTGTTTCTTGGTCTGTGTGTCTGTCCCTGCACCAGGACCATACCATGGTGGTAGTGAACCCATGGCACTCAGGCCAAAGCAGGCTTTGTACCATTAAGACTCTGAAAGGTTCACCATGCTGCTAGACTGTCTTTATTGCTGGATGTTTGTAATGGGTCTTGATATCTGTAGGATGTGTCAGCACTTTTGTTTTTCCTTCATTTTTTACTTTTTCTGTTCCATATAAATTTCATGATCAAGTTGATAGGTTGTGAGGTTAAATCCTGTAGGGTTTTGTGTGTGTGTGTGTGTGTGTGTGTGTGTGTGTGTTGTTGGGGATCCAGCCTGGGACCTTGTACATGCTAGGCAAGTGCTGACCTAGAGTTACATCCCTAGTCCTATGGTATTTTAGTTGGAATTTCATCCACACTGTAATTCAATTGGAAATAATCAGATCTTTATGATAGTAAGTCTTCTTTTCCATGAATATAAAGTGACTGTCTATTCATAGATGTTTTAGGGGGCCAGGGAGATCACTCAGTAGAGTAAGCGCCTGCCTGGCAAGCACAGGATCCTGAGTTCAATCCCTTGTACCGCAAAAAAAAAAAAAAAAAAAAAAAAGAAAATGACCTAAACATAGATGTTTTAGCGTCTTTCTATAAAATTATGGTTTTTTAAAAACCAGTTGCTGTCATTTAACTCTTGCTGTTGCTAGTAGAGAGAGGTATAATCAACATTTCTCTATGGACATAGCTAACAATTTTATATTTTAGATACTGTTTTTAACACGGTGTATCATTGGACCTAGAGGCAGAACTTATTTGAAATGTTAGCAAAAAATAATATCTAGGTGTCTGATTAAATGTACTGTAGGGTATGTAAATGTTTATCGTTTTACTTTTGAGATGTATCTCCCTGATAGTTTCATATTTGGAAGACCAAGAGCATTCCTACCTAAGAGCCAGAGATATGCTGTATTTAATGCTCTATAAATACCAAACTCAGTAACACTGAGTCGTCAGAAAGCTGGTCTGCATTTCGTAATTGTGAAATTTATTGTAAGGATAGAATAAGATGATAAAAGCAGTTTTATATAAATGAAATGTGAGAACAGTGAATATTTTTCTCCTAAAAGTTAATGCATTAATTACTATTTCTAAATCAAATCAGGAATGAAAGACAAAATTAGTAGCCACTGAAAACATTATTGTATCTCACCTTTAGTTTGGACAAACATTTTAATAAGTTTTAAAGTGAATTCATTACACTGGTTATTCCTGGCATCTTACATTGATTTTTTTTCAGTGGATGTGCCCATGTATACACACACACGCGCGTGTGTGTGTGCATGTGTGCACATGTGCATACACAGCACTTGAAGTTTATGTTTCCCAAGGGCCAGCTTTTAAAAGATTTCTTAATAAATGGATTCAGAATTTACACTCTCAGAAGTGAGAGTGTAAATTCATATAAGGCAAGCAGCTGAAGAAATTTAAAAAGATTTATTCCTCCATTCAAAAAATATTGATGAAGTGCCCACCTGCGTGTGCTAAGATGAGCTAGACATTGAGGATTCAGTGGTAGACAAAGTAAACACTGTCCACTTACTTGAGGATATGGTCCAGGAAGGGAGGTGTGAAAGTTAACCAAGTATAGTTGTGTTTTAGTAAGTGCTCTGAAGCAAACAAAGTGCTCTCCAAGAAAAGGCTGAGGCGCTGCACTGACATGGTGTAACCTGTCACTTGGGAAATGAGACTGAGTGCAGTCTGAAGGATGAATGGAGTCACCACAGCATCTCAGGGTCTTTTCTAGCCCTCATGCCTGCCGACTGCAGCTGGCTGCTGACAACTCCTTTGCTGGACTGTCAGCCAAAGAGAGTGTGTTTCTTCTCCTCAGCTGCCTTCTGGTTACTCTGCTTGGCTCCTAGAAGCCGTGGGCAAGCAGGTTGAGAGCCACACAGGACAGTGTCTCACCGTGAAGAAGAGGAACTATTAACACTGCATCTGCTACTCTCCCCTCCTGACCTGGCCGGCCCTTTGGAGGAGCTCAGAGCTCTTGATCAAGCATTGACAGTAGGGAGAGTCAGAGAGAAAATGGTCAAAGAACAGCCTGCAGAGGTGAAACTGCCCAGCCTGTCTTTCTCAGCTGGTGGAGGGCAGCTCTGAGGCAGCCAGGAGCTAAAAGCAGTTTGTTAAAAAGAAAACACACTTCAGATGAGACTGTGCTTACTCTTTGTGACATTTTTATGTCCTTTTAGGACCCTGCCCTCCTGCCAGTTTGTTCTAGATGAGTATTTATGAGCCCTCACATGGAGATAAAATTTCTACTGGAGAGATGTCAAAGTAAGATCCATGTGTGGGGTCGGAGTGGGGAGGTCCAGGCAGAACGAGAGCTGTGAAAGTATCAGGCCTCTGAGCAGAGCCATTTTCTTGGAGCTGGTTGAGCTGCTAAAGAGATTACTAAAAACCTGGTAAACCATCATTCTTAGCTCTAGGAATCATGTAACTATTTCTGAAACTATACTAGTGGGGTAACTCTAAATTAGAAGTGTTGCATTCTGAATTACCATGCATATGTGAATATTCAGTTCTAAAGAAGACAGTATTGTGTGCAGGCCATTTCAGTGTCACCATGATGTTCACAATTTCAAAGCCTGAACTTCAAAGCCAAACAGAAATTAGCATTAGCTAGCTGACTTAATGTGTTGGTAGTTGGTAGAATTGAGCTCTGGCCAATCCCAGATCACTCATTTACATGAGCATTTGATGCACATCATCTTGCTCTAAAGAGAAGCACAAACCTGCTGCCTTCCGGGTGGTAATTCTCTATTCAGGAGCCAGGAGCTTTTCAAGCCTATGTATTACATTTTTATTTTATTCTAATTGGTTGTGTTAGTCTCAAGTCTAAAAGTAGCATCTTATTACAGTTTAGTTTCCAATACAGATTTATTCACATGTGATGAAGACTCTGCTATCTAAGAATAAAAAGCCACTTTGGGTTTAGTGATTTTTAGGCATGGCCTTTTTTTTACCCTGAAGTGCTATAGAATGTTCTAATTTAGCATTTATAAATTGGGCAGGGGGCTAGGGAGATAGCTCAGTAGAATAAGTGCTTGCCTGGCAAGTGCAAGGGCCTGAGTTCAATCCCCGGTTCTGCA